GAATGCAACCACTGTGAAACCATCTAAAACGTGTTTGCAAACAGTAATTATAAGCTGCATTGGAAATTAAACTGATGATTGAGAAGCAAAGGTGAGCCTGAAATACTGAGGATACTCAACCAGTCCAAAACTTTTTCTGCTCCTTCACTACAAAGCTCCACCTGGAAGGTTCAGGGTAATTTTGGAAGTAATACCTCCCTATCTGCACCATTTTTTGAAGTCAATTATATCCCTGGTATTGATTTTGGCCCTGCTTCTTTCAGTCTAAACAGAATTGGGGCGAAAAGTGCCTCAGAAATTTACACTGGTTCCTGCAATCAAAACACAGCTTTTTGCGTTATTCAATAGAATACTTAAACTTCTTCAAAGTATCCTGATCATGAAGTAATAATGTTAAATGAAGACTGGGGATTGGTCTTTACTCATACAGTGTTTTTTTTTTTTTTTTTTCTAAGGTTTTCCATAATCCACCTGGATTACACTTTGTTGGAGCTGTTAGAAGGACAGTGAAAGAAGCCTGAATTATTGACCTTTTACAAAGGAATTGTGGACATTGATTCAGGTTGCAAGAATTAACTTTGTCAGTTGTAACCTAAAGAATATTCATAGCATTTGCAATTTAAAATTTAGTTTTAGAATTTATAAATTATGGGCAGAAAAAGGGGCAACATCTTTTACAATTCTGTTTTTTAATGTTTCATATTATAATGAAGCACATCAGACTTGCAACAAAATGTGTAAATCTGTCAAAGTGGCAGAACAAACAGCTCAGTTGTGGCAGCAGATGGATGCACTCCGTAGCAAGTAGAGGCTCCCAGTCCAGATGCACTTTTCCCTGAACATGTGGTAAATAAGCCAGATCTGAAAATTGTTTATCCACAAACACCTAATAGCTCATTAATGCAGTGTGCCGACAGGTAGGGACGTACTTCTGATGATGTGAGCACTGGAAGATGCTGGGTTTGCTTCATAAATCCATGCTTTGCTCAGCCTTGCATCACTTGAGGGGAAAGTTAAACTAAAGCCAGCTTGCATGTTTGACTCTCCCTCCTTCAAAAAAGTAAAAAAGGTGAGTTGCAGAAATGGAACAAAACATCCTTCTTGCCACTGATAAGAAACACATGGCACAAAGTTTGTGCATTAAGTACAGTCTGGGATCACACAGTTTGTGTTTTATTTATTTATTTATTTATTTATTTATTTATTTATTTATTTATTTATTTATTTATTTATTTATTTATTTATTTATTTATTTATCCCCCCCCGCCCGCAGTTTGTTAGATGTTAGCTTCTTCCACATCTCACGGCTCTGTAGGTGGAATGGATTCAGCTTATTTCCATGGCCGCAGGCAGAGTTGTGTGCGGTAAACAGCGTCTTGGGTGAACTGTGCTGAGTTGTACCGAGTTGTGTACGGTTCCTGAAGACAGACAGCAACATTAATCACAAGCTGGGAGTCTGATTACATAGCCCAGCCCCTCTTAAGTAAAGCTGTCCCTGGAGCGATACAAGAAGACGGCAGAGCTGGTTTGGCATCACACTGGTGGATGCTCAGCTCTCCTGTCGTGCTCCAACTCAATCGTCCCCCCATCTCTGCAGACATACCTAATGTCAGGCAGCAGCCGAGGCAAAGCTTCATATAAAAATCCTTTGGGTTTTTCCATGGAATAAAAGTCAAATTCAAGGCTCTTTTTATTTTTCTAGTATATACTGTACAGTTGCAAAAGCAGTACCACAGCACTCATTAAACCTCTGGTTGTTTTATTTTGCTATGTTTTTTTGTACTTGTAGGCATAATATACTGTATTTTAATATGTCTGTAATTAAACACCATTTTGTGCCACAGATTACCTTCTGACTGACTTTAAGCAGTCAAATGGCTAAATATTTCCAGGCAAATACTGTATATGGAAGACACATTAAAAACTGTTGCTTATTATTATTATTATTATTATTATTTTATTTTTTTATTTTTTATTTTTTTAGTAATGACAAGTTTGAAGCATAATTGCCATGCTTGGTCAAAAACGTCTATATTTTGTCGACTGCCAGCTAACTGACAAATGCCTAAATATTTTCAGGTCAACTTACAGTGTGGCTTTTTTCTCTTTCTATATAAGTTTTTAGACCTTAGTATGGTTCTGTAAGCAGAACAACCCATAAAAGAAAACTTGAGGCCTAATCTAAGCTATAGATTTTAACATTCAGATGTTTAATGTAGCATCTATTTTCCCTTTACACAAGAGTGGTAAGTAAAATATATTTCACTAGTTTATTATCAGTTTTATTTTCATTTTAGGACATAAACATTTGGATGGTGGTGGTCCAACAGAAGCATTTTGCTTTTGAACAGTCTTTTTCTTGTGGGATTAAACTTGTTAATTATGAGTGAATCAATCTGGCTGAGAATTTCTGCCTTCAAGCTGCAGTCCAACTAAGATAATATTCAAATATTTTATTTAGGCTCTCAGGTTTTCATTCTTAACAGACCATAAAAGTAAGGGGTTCACCAATTGCAGTTTTCTGGCCAGTCACAAATCACCAATCTTTAAAAATTCTGATTTGCTGATTCCAGTTTTGGCTGAGACTGATTAATATTGCATAAGTGAGACTGTCAGGTTTTATAAGGTCATACACCTTCAATGTTCCAAACTTATTTTAATGACAAACATCAAACTTGTTTTAATTGGACATTAGGTAGTTCTCACAGCAGAACAAAAGGGGATAGTGGCTGATTTTCAGACTTTGGCAGAGGTAGATGTAAGATCGGCTTCTCATCTAATTATCGGCTGATCTCCCAAAATTAAGGAAATCGGGGCCGATAAATCAGTGCACCTTTACTTAAAAAACAGTTGCATCAATTTGGTGGACGGAGCTAATTTGGAGGAAAAACTTTTAGTTAGTTTTGTACTTGTAACTCAAGTAAAACTTCTGCAAACATGTTTCACCTGATCTCAGAG